AGAGAGAGAGAGAGAGAGAGAGAAAGAGAGATTGGACCCCTTGAATTATGAAGCATGCATGGAGATAACAATCTACCAACAAAATCCCCAAGTCATTATCAGAGGAAATCCTGTTTGGATTCCTAATCATGAATCCATGCATGCAATAAACTCTTCAGTGACACTTTTAATCAAAGTTCCATGCAGACTTGATTGGTTCTTCCGAAAGAAGTTAATGGCTTCCATCACAATGACCAGAAGCCTCTTAACTAATGACTCGTTGAAGAAGGAACGGTGAAAGCTCTACCGATCGCATGTGCTGTCGAACTCATGGAGAAATACATGGTGAATGAACAGATTGAAGGAGGAGGGTCTGAGGTGTGGGAGGCACGCAAAGGCAGTCGCAGCACGCATGCCAAAGAACACGCCCCCGCCGTGCTCGTCAGTAGGCATCCACCACCACCACCACCACCGCCACCACCACCACCACCCAAATGGGTGGTCCTGGACCCCATGGTCTTCCCCTTCCTCACCCTAAACAAAAAGGGTGGGGGCTGTGAAAGGGACCTGCGCACATTGTTAATTTGCAGGATCACGCAATGGATCTCGGAAGCACGCCTTGGTTGCACTGCTAAGGCAGGCCTCCGTATCCCATGCCCTCCGCCTCCTCCTCCCCCTCTTCCTCCACCTGCTCCTTTTGTGAAAGAAAAGGAGGGGGGAGGAGACAAGGGAGAGGAGGCATGAGAAAAGTGGCAGAAACCCTCATCATGCCGGAGAGGAGACAGGAAAACACCCTATGCAAACCTCCATGGCCATTGACTCCCCCACACCCCCCATCATGACCCATTTATTGTTGCTGTGCTTGTTGTAGCTGATGGTATTGGAGAGCAATGTGAGCTCATGTCTCAGCAGAGTGAGCTGAGTGGACTGCATTCTTCTTCTTCTTCTTAGGATGCTTTTTAGGTAGGGATGATAAAAGCTAATGGGTACAACATGCATGTCAACCTCTGGAAACCAAGAAAAGTCGAATGCTTTTTTGCCCTCCAACAGCCTTCCCACAGTCACTTTCACTTTTGCGACTAAAGATAATGACAAACTTGGCACTGAAGGGAGGGGTGTGGCCAACACACACACACACACACACACACACACACACTCTCTCTCTCTCTCTACTCTAACCCAAGCAAAGGGAAAAGGAGAAGAAAAATATAAGCAAGTGATGGTTGGTGTTGGTGTACCTCATGCCACAAAAGTGGCTTTTTAAAGGACCCTAGGTTTAGGGTTTAAGGTTTTGATAGTACACCACCACTACCTCAAATCTGCTCCACATTGCCCATTCCATCTTCCTTTTGTGGATTGGGTGGCATGCATGCATTCTTCTCTTGGACTTCAAGTCACTACAATAACTAGGTATATTGATTTTTGGAAGAGAAGACACCCATCAACATCCACTGATATGTTGATTGGTGACTCATGTCCATTGACTTGGAGTAGTAAAAGCATCAAACAGCATGAGATGAATTCCATTTGAACTAAATGGTTCAATCAATATGGTTGGTTCCCACACAAAAATATTAGATATGCTTGCTGCTTACACATGTCATTAGTTTACTCCACCATTTGGGAAAATCTTGACCAATATCTAGATCCAGAAGAATGCTAAGAACCTAGGAATAGGGCTTTATCATGTGTTGTCTCCTAATCTTTTGGGTCCAACTCTTCCACTAATTCATCATGCACTATATAATTAACCTATCCAAGGACCCACTTATCATCTCAGTGGTAAATGGCAACAACAATAGTCCATATGTAATGTGGATTTTATCTGTTCAAACCAGGTTGAAGTCACTTCAACAGCTTAAATCAGATCAACTCGTCATCTTTGGACTACAACATGTTCACTTCTTCTTCTCCGATGGAGCTTGCAATATCCACTGCGCTGCGATGCATTGGGAAACCAGCCATCGCAGGAACATTGCTGGAGTGCCTCGAGGGCTTAGATCATGAATGAGTCATTGATGTGTGCAGGGAAGACAACTACTGTGGCCAAGTTTATTTTGAGCCAAATAATGTCAGCACTTTGATGATGATCTGTGGCTGGAAAACGAAGAAACCCTCACTTTTCTGCATGGAGATTTGATCCTCAAATTAAATTGAATGTGAGACTTCCTAATCTGATGTTGGTGAGTAGCTTTTTTTTATGACAATTTAAAGCCCAAACATATATCATAAATAAATGATCTGAAACACACAATGGCTTTCGTCTGAATTTTGATAAGAAAATGTGTCTTTTGTTTTCAGAAAGAAGGAAAAAAAAGGGAGAAGAGGGGAGGGGAAAGAAATCATTGGAAAATAGCAGTGTCCAAAACTGCATCTCTCATACTTCCACAGGTGTTTCATTGCACCTTTAAATGTTGGCCGTCCATGGAATCCCTCACCATTGACTCCAGTAGTAATGGAAGGAAGACAAATTAGATATCCTTCAACCCAGATTTGGCGCCGGCACATTAACTCACATTCCACAACCTGCTTCCTCCTCCCCTCTCATCTTCTCTGCATGGTCAAACGTAGATCAGAAATGGCAAGAACACAGTAAAAGCCACACACCCCTCCCGTTTCAGTCGCTGCAGCGATGGAACAGTGCGAACCAAACACACTGCCTGCCCTTCAGCAGCAGAACAGCAAAAGCAATAAAATCACAAGTTACTGCTTCCTGCAAAAGATCAAAAGAATAATAGAAAAAGAAGTTAATCGGGCTCACTTTTGGGGAACACTGAGAGGGAGAACACGAGGAAAAGTTGCATGCTCATGAGCAGTAGAGGGACAAAAGATCTCACCGCATTTGTTGCAGAGATTCGGGTAAATTTTGGTCGTAAGACTTGCAGTGGATTGTATATTAGTATATGTATTGTTGGAGACGTCATATATATATATATATATATATATATATATAC